CTCTCTCTCTCTCTCTCTCTCCCTCCCTCCCTCTCTCTCTCTCTCTTATCCCTCTACCTACCAACCTACCTAATCTCATTCTCTCTCCCTACCTACCTACTATCTCTCTCTCTCTATTTCACTCTCTCTATCCCTTTATCTACCTTCCTACCTAACTTCTCTTTCTCTCCCTACCTACCTACTGTATTTCTATCTCTTTCTCTCCCTCTCTATACCCCTACCTACCTACCTACTTTTTAAAAAAAATTGCCTCTTCAAAACCTTGGTGCGTCTTATACTCTGGTATGTCTTATACTCTGAAAAATACGGTAGTTGTTTCCTTATTCATTCCCATGTTGTATGTATAAACTAATAGATACGTATTCTTAAACCATATATTACAAATAGTCCCTTTTCTAAGAAAATATTTGCCAAACAGTCACCATTCTGATTCATTCGTGGGTCTCCAAATGGCCCAGTCTCTTTTTCTGAATTATCTCATCTCATTCCCACCCTATTCATGTCTCCTAGTTCAATACAGGTAGTTCTTGACCTAGGACCACAATTGAGCCCCAAATGTATGTTGCTGAGTGAGACATTTGTTAAGTGAGTTTTTCTCCATTTAATGACCTTTCTTGCCACCATTGTTAAATGAATCACTGAAGTTTTTAAATCATTAACACACTGCAACCATCATAACTAAGCAACCACCATAACTAAGCAACCACCATAACTAAGCAAGTTATGTAGTTGTAAATGTGAAAAATGGTCATAAATCTTTTTCAGTGCTGCTGTAACTTTGAAAGGTCACTAAACAAGCTGTTGTAAGTTGACAACTACCTATATTTCCCCTTAGATTGCATTCCTTCTTAAGGTTTCAGAGTTTTAAACAAAATTCATCCCTGATTCTCCCACAATTCCCATCTATTGGACATAATATGTAGCTGTAACCTTCCTATGGATTTCTGCTTTTATACATTCAACAACTTTCTGGATTTTGTTCATTCTGACATACAATTAAATCTTTTTGTTCATAAATGTATGCTTTCACTTTATGACATGTATTTAGCAACCCCATTCCTTAAGATAAGTCCATCCTTATTATAATTATCACCAAAGAGGCCCACATGTTTTCCCTATTGCCTATTCTGGCTTTAGTCAACCTTTACATAATACTTTCTGATAAGGTAGAAATATATAGACTGAGTTATCATCATTAATTCAACCCATGCCACATGCATCATTCCTTACTAATGGTAGTTTTGGCATATTTTGATTAATGTGCCACAAGTTCAATCAAGCATCAGTTTCCCCCCAAGTATGTTAATACTATGCTATGCAAGCTAAAATCTCTTAATCTACAGCGTTTTATATCGACCAACATATAGCTGTGAACTTAACCATTCAGGAAGGACTTGTGTGCAATATATTGAAACACATATATGGATACTATTATAAACTGTTTTGGAATAAAGCTGGTTATTTTACTCCACTCGGATTGATATTTGCAAATTATAGATTCCCAAAACCTATGCTCAGAATCTGATCATGTATGTGGTTATAATGATCAGAAGGAATCAGTAAGAATGATAGTGGAAAGAGACATGTGACTTCATATTCCTTTCCTAATTGGGAAACCTAGGTTCAAGGTAAATACCAGTTGCATCCAACTGAAGGGATCTATCTACTGAAAGATATTAACTTTATTTATACATTCATTTTTTTCAATGTCTATACATTGAATAAATGTTTATACATTCAATGTTTTTAAATCTTTTAGACATGATTTAAGTAATGCTTATTTTTAATTAATAGTTCATGGTATTGAGATTTTTTAAATTATAATTACCATAATAAAATGGACAAGTATGCATCTGAAATAGTGCTGTGGGAGATAAAGAAAAATGGGTGATGACAGGTCTGAGTAAATCTAGAGAGAATATTTCTGTTAGCATGCCCATTATTTTAACAGAGAGTAACAGAGTTAGAGGTACATACCACTATTAAACTATACTGGATATTATTGGACATTGTATTCTTTACTTCTTTATTTCTTTATTCCTCTTTTCTTTTAGATGAAAAGGTCATATCCAGTTAAGATAATAGTATGCAGATAAAATCACTGTAATAAAAACTTACTACAGATCCTGCCTAAACTATTATAATGCAGAATAATTTGGGGATGAGAAAACGTAAAGAGACTGATAAAACTTTTTTCTTACCCTTATCCTCCATAGGCCCATTTGTGACAGCCTTAACTTTATCTTTTTTTCAACTTTCCAAAGAACCATTTTATTAATAATTCAAACATTCTTATACACCTTTCATAATTGGCTCTTAGTTAAAGCTATTTGGCCCGCCAAGTATACAATGAGTTTTTCTTTTATGTTTTTTACTTGTTTAAGTATCTAAATTCCTACTTCTAATAAATCTGAGGAGTGTCTTAGAAATTTGACAATAAATAAATACTTTGCAGGATCAGGCTGTGAATGATATTTTTGCTTGCATCAAACCCTAGGCAAAAGATAGTGGATGCTTGAGAGGCCTTTTGGATAAGCAGGCTAACTAATGATATTATTTTAATATAATAATGGAAGTTGCTTTTTTGACTCTGAAGGGGGAAATAGGCCAGTATGTTTTATTGTTCTCCATTTTTATTATAATCTTCAAATGTCCTTTCCTAAACCAATTTACATCATTAATATTATATCATTTACAATACCAACTCTAAACTGTTTTAGACAGATAATTGTCAAAGTATTAAAAAAAAGTAGAAATGTAGTGGAAAAAGTCTTCCTAGAAATTTTTTAATTTATGTGGCAGTCCCTGAAAGAAGACAAGACTTCAGCTAATTAAATAACTGTACTATACTGATGTTTATAATTGCCTTGTCATATATTCATGAATGGATTGAATTGAATTGGATAGCATTCTGCATAAAAGTAATGTCCATTTTATTGTGGAATAGATCCAATCGTGTGGCTAAGCTCCATGTGGTTTTAAGTAATAGCAAATGTGAACATTCAGAAGGGTTCACAAAATTTTAAGCACCACTGTATTTCCTGATAGTGATTGCCAATAAAAGACTTTTTTCTAAAAACAAGGGAAACTCTTATAAATCTGGTTTTAGTAGCTGCACAATTGGTATCAATATGAAGTGGGCTTATGCAGGTAGAAATGTAATACACATTGGTCTTTCTCCATGTTAGCTGGAACTCTGATTAGTCTCCACATATATAGGATCTCTTTATTATGATACCCTCAAAAATGATTACTGGGAAGCTTATCTGATGGATGACATTAAGTCTGTGGAAGCACCAGAGAGATTCATATAAATTAATTATAATAAATACTAGTATGTGATCTGGAGGGAAAGGAAGCTCTTTTTTCTCATCAGTAAAATAAGAGTCATGTTGCTTAATCCTTTTTAATATTAATTTGAAGATACTGCCATTCATTTTTTCTTAGCATATTATTACTGTGGTTCTTTCCTTTTCACATTCACATCTATTTCTGTCTCTTTAATCCCAACTTTGTCTTCTAGTTTTGTATTTGTCTTGATAATTTAAGCATTATGCAAGTTACAGGACTATACTTCTTTTTTTTCCTTTTCCTGTTAGTTCTGGTGGAAATTTTTGTTTGCAGTATGCTTTAAAAATAATTCTATTATATAATTCTTTCCTGGTGTGTTGAGTCTGGAGTTCTGAATGCATTAAAAAGATAAATAATTTGTAAGGTTGAGCATGATTCTAAACTGGTTTGGAAAATATTCTTTAGAAGTCATATGAACACAGGGTCTCTCTGCTACTCATTGAGGCAGCCATGTCTTTTTTCATATTTTTTCAGAAGTCTGAATAAGGTAGAAGTGCTTTAATGAGCTTGTACGAATTCCCATCTACTACTTCAGAATCATTTTAGAACCATGCTCAGCTTTAGTGATTGGTATATTTTGCACTAAGTAGATAGCTTCCATTCTAATTAATGTATATAAATAAGGCAATAACATCAGATTCCTAATTTGGGGAATCCAGTTTCAGCCTCTTATTACAATTTTCTCATTTTAGTTAGATTGCAGAACTATTAACTGAGGTGTGAGTGAAAGAAAATATTAACCACAATCATATTAAAGTTTAACTGTCACTTTTCTGTTCTTTTTTTCTTTCCTCAGGTCGAATTCGCACAAGGAGGCAAAGCTCTGGAAGCACCAGTAGTATCACTTCAACACCTGCTGACACTCGAGGCCGCAGTCGGGCTAAAGTAGTTTCGCAATCTCAGCGTAAGGAACCATTTAGTGTACTATTGTGGAGGAGACAGTGTATTTTCCAAGGTTTTTTTTTTTTTTTGCCTACCTTATTTTCATATACACCAGTGATTCATTCAGTGCTATGAATATTCTTCAAATGCAGTTTTAAAAGTTAATTTCTATAGTTAGGTCCTGATAAATTAGGTATGATATGCAGATTTAAAAAAAAATGCAATTGGGACTTAACTTCTCGGAATATTCATTGCTCTAAGAATGATTTGCAAAGATGGGATTGTCTGGGAATGAAGACACTAGAGATTGGCACTATGTTTTGCAACATGCCTCTTTTTGATTTCATTTTTTTAAAAAATAAAAAATATTTAAACATAAAATATCAGTGGGGCAGAGAATGCAGGAAATAGTAGACAGAATCTCTGTAAGCACTCGGTCCCCACATGGAGCCATTCAGTATCTTGTTAGTGATATCAATAATAGTGTTTCACGTAAGCATTAACTCCTGCATACAGAGGTAGTAGCTTGGCTCATACCACATAGGATGCCTAAGCCAGGAATTATAATGCCAATTTGTATCTTATTTGAGTTAAGGTAAAATATGACTAATTTAGAGACAACAAAGCATAATATAAAACTATGGCTTGTTTTATTAATTTTCTTTTCTTTTCACTCTGTGTAGTCAGTAAGTCTAACCATTGATAGACTAGGTGGTTTATTCCTGGTTTATTTTTGCGTTTCTCCCAAGCTTCTGACTAATCCAGTGGTACAAGATAAGAGCAGCTGGAAAGTTGCTCAAACCAAGCTGAGGTTTTCTTTCCAATATCTTTTTTTCCCTCTCTCTCTGGCAACGTTTTTCTTTCCCCATTCATTTTCTTCTTCAGCACATGGCAAATATGGGGAACAGACTTTTATATGTTAAATTACAATGAAAAAGTAGTAATGCCCCCAAAACTACATAGTATTTGGCAAATGATTGCCTGTTGTATAATGTTTATCGAGAACCAGGATCATTAATTTATCCTGAATCATGGCAGTATATTTTCCCAAACATGGGGTGAATACACACTAAGTTTCAAGGCCCTGTTTGTGAATTGTGAATAGACAGTGAATTTACGGAAAGATTTTCATTCCTAATGACCATTAGAAGGGAAAAAAACCTCTTCATGCTCTTCAGAATTAGCTGTCTGTCTGTCTCAATGTGTTCACCATTTACTGAGGAAAGGACATAAAATATAAAGTAAATAAGTTAGATGCTCTCTTCAAATCTATAAAAGTTTGAGTAGAGGGTAGTAAACATAAAAGGTATTCATCTAAAATTGCTGCTTAACAGCTTAGTGTAAATGGCTGTATAAAACTGTGTATTCTGTGGCAAGGCTGCTAATTTATATGGCAAAAAACATGTCCACTGGTTGTGGATAATTCCCCCCCCCCCCGATTTTTTCCCCATCGTACACAGACTTCTATGGATACAGATAATCCTTGACTTACAACCACAATTGGGACCAGAATTTTCATCATAAATTAGTATAGTCCTAAAGTGAGTGGCCTTGATTTTACAACCAATTTTATCATGGTCATTAAGTGAATCAAATGATAGTTAAGTGAATTACATGGTCATTAAACAAATTTGGCTTTCCTAATTTACTTTGTTGGAAGCTAGCTGAGGTCACAAATCATGATCACATGAACACAAGCTGCTGCACCTCTCATAAATGCAAATCAGTTGATAAGTACCCAAATTGCAATCATGTGACTGTGAGGTGCTGGAACAGTTGTAATTTCAAGGATGGGTTATAAGTCATTTTTTTCCCAATGCCATCATAATTTTGAATTATCATTAAGTGAATGGTTGTAAGCTGAGAACTACCTGTAGTACCTGCATACACATGCACACACACACACACACACACACACACACACACACACACACACAAAAACATACACATAAAGAGAGTGTTAGTATTCTATTTAACTGA